AAAGAATAATGGAAGCTAACGAACGTCAAATAATAAGTCAACTGACAATCGGGGTCATTGAATGACAAGGCTATGATTGAGGCATACTTTGTATCAATTATATTGGGGTAGGTTTTCTCTTGACTTTCTAAATAAATCTTCAACATAAATCGATGTTTGATAATTTGTTGACTAACGGACGTCTTTACATGATGCAAATGTATAACTTGTCTTGATTATATTCAGCTAGAAAATGTTTATTATTTATACAATACGGTCCATTACGTCCATAAATAACGGAAATGCCTGTGTCAGTGCTTTTCCCTAAAAGACTTTAGGCAACAGTAAAGGTCAAATGAATGTTCATCACTGTTCTAGGTCCAATAATATGTAAAATTTTGCTCTTTCAAAGCAGAGTTTACAGTAAACATGAACGTTCTTACTTGCTCCAAACTGCCGAAAGTCGAAAATGTTGATGTTTTGTTGGCATGTAGTACCTCCAAAATTTACAGGCCGCAATATTTTATTTTATATTATGTAAGACCAACCTTTAATCTCACCATACAAATAATATTACATTCATAGCAAGACTAACTTTTGAATTTTAGGGGTTTTATTTCACCCATTTTTAAGGAACTTGGAAATTTCTATTTTAGTGTATCATGAATGATGTCATTTCTATATTTAGAAAACAAATTTGAAAAATTTATAGATACACCTGTACCTTGTTACTTAAGACATGTAAAGCTACTATTGTCTGGAAATATTTAGTTTTATGATTATTTTTGTTTGATGTACAGAGGTTTAAAAATCAGCAAAAATCCACTATTGAGAAACAGCAAAAATCGTAATTTTAGCTCTCAACTTGACCCCCCCTGGAACTTTGCCAAAATGCAATTAGACTGAAAACAAAATGCATTTTGAAACAACCCTTATAAACGCAATCTCAACTACAAAGTTTGAGAGAAATCTATTTGTTGATCCAAAGAGGTAATGAGGTTCTTACAGAGACTGCCTCTTAAGTATTAAAAACAGTTCATCGGCAAAGACGACAAAAGCATGCAGTTTAGTTATTAAAATGAACATTTCAAAACATTGTACGAAGCGATTCAGATTAAACTTTACATTAAATCAAAGCTCATAAAATGCAAAATAACATACCTACAGTACATAATTCGGAAATTCATTGTTATATAGTTAAAAGCAATAATCTTTCAACTATTTTTGGCGTGTTTTTCAAAAAAATATAAAACTGTCGTGTTGCTATGACAACACTGACGTAAACGCGAGCCTGCGTTCAGTGTTGATCAATTACTACTATGGTACTTGATGTAAGTCAATGTTTGGAAAATATAGGCGAGCGGTTGCTGCATGCATGTATTTCTAGTACTATAAATTTTCTAATTATTAATGGAAACTGACATTGTCTTTGACGGGACTAATATAATTGTTTGTAAAACGAATACATAGTACGTAATTATGGACAGCTCGTTTTAATCAAGTTTTGCGCAGCGACTAGCGAGGATAGAAGCAATACAAAGCAACAAAAGAAAAAGTTATTTTAGTTTCTTATACTTGTGTTATTTTATTATCTGGGCAGTCCATTATTTATTAATCGCGTTTTTTCAAAAGCTTTCGTGTTTCAGGTAAGATACTTTGTCCTGATACAGCATCTCCGAAGTTTGAGGCACCTTGAAAGTGGAGAAACGGGAAAAATGGCAGACAAATTGCATAGGGACCAGTGAACAATGAATTGTTCTTTAATATGTCGAACCTTATGACAGGTGAGCCAGATGATCCACGACAGGTGGCTACAGTGTGTTCTACGCCATACTTGTTTTCAACACGTTTCCATTCTCGCCACAGACGTTCTGGATCTGAACTTAGTTCGCCAAATGCGATGTGCTTGTATGCACCATGTGGATGCCCAATAATGCATAAACGGGTCTTCGATGATGGATCGTCTCTTTGCACCTTTGGTGTCTCGTCAAGGAAAAGTGGACTCAACAGATTCAAACTCTTCTTTTTCTCTTCGTTTTCCGGAAACCCAATTGTTAAAATTATAAAGTCCAAACGTTTCAAACTTGCTTCGTTATCACTTTCAGCTCCCTCCGGATCAGTGCTGCTTCCCACATTCACGGACCAAAGCGGGGACATACCAGTCACTCTGCACGTTACTCCACGCGTGTTGAAAATTTCTTCGGAGTCATAGAAAAAGAGGACTTGAATGTCATCATTTGTCACGGGATAATCTTGTCCAGACTACAGATGCAAGAAAATTCATTTAGAGATTAGTGGTAAAAAATAAAGAAATACATAGTTCGATGAGTTTTGATTTTTTGTATCTCCGCTTGCGCAGATATCACGCTATCGTGCATGTAGCAAAATAATATTTTAGGCTCACTTTTTTATTTTGCTTTGTAATTTGGCCTGATCGAAGATGAGAAACTGACTTTATGCAAAAACGTATATATATTTGCATGTGTTTAGAGAGTTGGCCATTGAATGTGTAGTGGTAACAATGTGTGCCTATTACGTCATCATCGCAGGACGAGGGTTCGAATCCCTGCCATGTCTTTTTCGTCCCTATTTCGTGTGTTTTCGTAAAAACACTTTTTCTTATTAATTTTGACTTTCTATGGGGTTATAGTTTTAGCGTTAGTTTTAGGGTTTGTGTTGACTGATTTTATATAAATCTAAAAAATTTAAAATCGTAGCAACTGAAGTCCACCATCTTGAATCAGGCCTGGCCATACAAGGGAAAATAGCCCAACATTACATAAAAAAATATTGAATATTTTAAGACAAAAATGGGCTAATGGATATTAGTGAAGGACAAATAGATTCAATTTTGGTAAAAACACTGACACTTGGCGCGCAGAGGTATGCACTCTCTGAATGCCCTCTAGTTGCGTAATATTTTAGGGTTGGTCCTACCGATCTGAAAACTAGGACTGGACAGAGTACCCTGTTAAATAGACGTTTCCCCTTTTAGCAGCACGCGCGCAAAGCATCGCGGTAGTTGATTATCAAAGTCAATTTGAGTTGTCATGGCGAAATGTTCGGGAGCGATGTTTTCCCGAAGGAAATCTTGTCGATTTTCAGTCTTTTTATCTAACTTTAAAGAATAAAAACCGTGTCTTGAGAAAATCATAACTCCTTGCTATATGTAGACGGAAAGGTAAAGGGATCGGGGTTTGTTTTATTGAGAAAAACGGCTTTTTAATCACAAAGGAGCGATAGTTTATTCGACGAAAATGGCCTTCGAATCTAGGGTTCCTTTCACTTGCAGTCGGTGAGTTATGGTATTATGTAGCGATCAAAAGATTATTTTGATATGTCAACAGTCCCCTACATTCTGTCTTTCAGTATGAATAATTTTAGAGTCGCTTACTCATTTTCTCGTACATTTTTTGTTCCTTAAATACGGCATGCGCTTTCAACTTTTCGGCTTTCATTTTATACATATCTAGGCTTGCTTGTAGTTGTTTGGCTTTGCCTATTTTGGCGCAAAAAATTACAAACATTTGCAGCCAATGTTGCAGTTTTGTCTACGGTCTTCATATTTTCGCTTGTTTTCTGGAGTTTTGCTTGTTTTTGTCTTGGTTGTTATCTTCTTGTATTTGCCAGAATTAAAGTAGGTTCTGAAATTGTTCTAAAATTCGAAAGTAATTTTATTTTTGGTCACAAAACTTCGTTAAAAACCCAGTTTTGTGCACAAATTTTGTAAACATTAAAACATAGATTGTTTTTAAAAATGTAGGTGAGTTTTACAGGTAGAATTTTTCAAATTGAAATAGGGAATTAATACAGTACATTAATAATATAAATACAGTTAAATTTGATATTAAGTGGTAAAATATACTGTATCTATAAAAATATACAGTTATAATAATAGGACATAATTCATAAATAAATATATCTGGCAAAATGGAGATGAACCTAGCACCTCAAAGAATGCAGACAATACTCAAACTATGCTAGAATAAATAAATTCTGGGAGCTAAACAAAGCATGGCAAGCCTAGGTTATTATCTCGTCAACAAGAATTGTTTATGGTGATAAGCTGAATGCACTGTGGGTTGTTGGTGGAGGTTGTGGCACACAGATTT